GGTACATAACAAGTCTCAGCAACGTATAGTTTTAAAAACAAGTTGTTTGCTCTCGCTACGTATTTTATTGAGCAATTGAACATCAGGACATAAATCACACTTCACAACTCTTACATATTTCTATCTTAAATAACAGCTACAATCTATGCGACTATCACAGAAATCTTCCTGAATTGAGCCAAAACATTATCTATCATCTTGCTATGTATTTGGGAAAAAATAAGTTTGCTTATTCTATTTGTAACATTGATAAAAATTATTTTATCATAGCTAAGGCTTAAATTTTGAAATTTTTAATAAGAGATAGTTCATAATGCTTTTGAACAGAACTTACCATTTTCCCATAAATTAAATTAACACGTAATAACTGAAAGCAATTTTTCTAGTAATGATTGATCTACTAATCATAAAATTGAGAAGTTTTAGATGTTACAGACAGGGATATTTAAGCTTCCTGACACTGAATACTAACAGAGGAATTTTAGCTGATGTCAATGGAGACAATTGTTTACCCCTTAGTATCTTGCTCAGGGACAGTCAAAGCCTTACCATTCAATGAAACAAAATTTTCATTAAAAGCGTTTCCCTTTTTCTATTATTAAGAGCAAAGAGAGCATTTTTTCAAATAGTACTTATGAAAACAAGAACTTTATTACTTCATATTCACTTTAAGGCACTATATAGAAGTTTTATAAATCTTCGCCAAACTTATCTTTATTAATTACATGAAAGGAGATATCCAACTCAAAACAACAAAAAGTTTTCTATAACTATAGAAAATATTTTTTTTAAACTTAAGTTTTTCTTTGGTGCATTAACACAACTCTCTTTTCTAAGTTTTAAATACAGTGTTTTAATATCTTAAAACAACTGTTGCTATTTTCACTGTATAAATTATCTTTCCCACCTTCCTTCTTAGGAAAGTTCAACATTTGGTTCTATTCTAAATTATCTTGCACTTGTGTAATGCTACAATACATTTATATTAAGCCACTTCTATGAAATCCCATATTCTTTCAAACATCCCTCTGGCCTGGAAAAAAATTTATCAGCTTCACAGAAAGTGCTAGGCTATACTATGCACTGACACTCACAAGGCAGCAGGGGGAGCAGCCAGAAAAGCACCCAGAAAACCAGTTTCATTTATAGGCAACAGAAACAAGTTTCCAGTAATGCTAAGCTTTGGAACTGCCCCTAAAATGAGAGTAGAAACAATATACATTTTTTTGTGGTGTTATGCTTTAGGGAGAATTCAAAATGATTTTGTTTTCTCCTTCAAACATCACTGTACTTAAAAAGGCCTGGTGACATGTGCAAAAGGACTAAGTTTATAGGGTTCCAGGACACACAGTCTTTGAAAGACCTATGTCTGGACTTCTGTCCTTGCCTGCTTAGCCATTCCCTCCCACCCTCATATACTTCGTATGACAGAAAAGTGAAAACAGGATGAAACTACTCTGCATTAAAAAGCACTTTCCTAAAAATGGACTTAGCTTTACAAGACTTACACTAAGGATGGAAAAGTGCCCATCAACCTACATGAGGTTATACATATTCTAAAGATTAATAAGAGCTGTCTTTTCAGTTTTACAGTAAAATTTTTTAAATGTATTTAGTTTTTCTGTCTGGAATTCTAAATTTAAGACAACAAGTGTAGTTAGGTAAGGACAGCTATTTATCTAAGAATTATAATACTTCATAAACTTAAAATGTCTATCATAAATTATATCTGAATAGTAAAAACAAACCCCCCATTTTAGCCAAAGAGGCAATTGATAAAGTTTCACCTAAACCCCAAATAATAAAGGTACAGTGTGTACTCTTGTTAGACACTGTCTTAGCTTGTCTTTTGGTACTTTTTTAACTCCCACATTAACCTTATATTCATACTTTGCCAAGGAAACTGAAGCTAAAAAAGTTTAAACCATTTTTTAAATGTAATTGTGCTAGGGACAAACGGAACAAAACCATGATTGAACTTCCAGGTCTGTCTGTCTCCAAACCTTTAAGACCTCACTAAAACTCCTCTCAAGTGTACCAATGAGGTTCCAAAGGAAATCTAAACAAATCAGAGGCAGATTAATGTGCTTATGAGGGTAAATGCTGTAGATTTAATCACTCAAATTAAATGCCATCTGGAATCACTTATCCTAGTTGGTACAAGCATCCTACATGCGTTTCAGCTAACCTTTCCTTATCCAAGATTTCAATAATTTTTTTCTGCCTCTATTCCATCAGCAAGCACTAGGTATAGTACAACACCAATGCAGAAACTACAGCGTGTTGTTCTAACATCACTTTTAAACTTCTGTTTAAGATTCCCTTTATTAAGATTTTTAAAAAATTTATGTGATTTGTTAATTCAATTTGTTAAATGGGTTTGGGGAATCAATTTCCTTCTCTTCACATCCAAATTCATTTCAATAACAAATATTTTCTACTATCACTTAAAAATCCAGATTTCTTACTAATGTTCTTATTAGGCTTTTTAATGTTAGGAATACATATTAAAAACCCCAAGAAAAATGAAAATAGAAAAGTGTACTAATTTTTCAAAGGTAAAAACAGAATACATGGAAAACACTGACAGAATGAGTGGCAATAAGACTAATGACCAAAAAACAACGTTTCAGATTTATTCATTCATACTAAAGAGACAACAACTGAGCCAACACGTGAATCAAGCTGTGTGTATTCCCAGTCCAGACAGAAGGCAGAGTACTACTCACAGAGACCGTGAGATCAGCTGCTCCAACTCAGTTTTTGGCTCTTGTAGATGTGGCCTATTTATGCCCTTGTTATCAAGCAGAAGGGTAACTTTACAGCCTTCATCGAGAGCTTTTCTTCTTTCTAGGCTAATCCTTCATCTATAAAAGGCCAGGTGAGCATAACACTAATTTAGAAATAAATGAATTAAAAAAGAAATGAATAGTCTAGATGTTAAGTTTAAGCAGCAGCTCCAGCTGTGCTAAGCTTATTTTCAAAAGTGTCATGTCAATAATCTTTCAACCACAAGACAGAAACACAGCTAGAATACCTGAATTCTGAAAAAATCTACCTATTTCACTCCACCTATTTCACTTCAACTAAATAAGCCCATATTCCCTACTAATCATGTGAATTTACTCAAATTTTAATTTGGAAGCCTATAGAATGAAGATTTAAAAGAAAAAAATACACCTCACTTTATTTGGTGCCTGTGAAAGAAAGATATCATTCTGAGGAATTATTGTGACCTAAAATGTTTTTATCTTAAAGTACAGATAAACTATTCACAGTTGAACTGATTCAACAATACACTGCTAGAATGAACATCAATTTTCAAATTAAGCTTATGGATTTGGGGAAGTAACTGTTGTGCCGAGCCGCATTTCACTGAAAAAAGTATTGCCAATTCATCTTGAAAATATAAATAAATGTGTGTATTTTACTAGATGCCTTCAGATTCTGCTCTCCCTTTTTACTACAAAGGATCACCCAAGCAACTGAGAACTCAGGCCCACTGCAGAACAGTTCCATTTAGCATTTAGGACACTGGAGAGGGCAGTATATGTCTGCTGCGATTATGAATCAAATTATGAAAAAATAACATGTTTTATAAAAATAAAAATAGTCAAATGAGAATAGGACCTAATGCCACTGCAGAGAGGAAGAGTCCCAATTAGAAAGCAATAACTAGTCATTCTAATGAGGAACCAAGCCAAACTTAGAAATGACCAAATGACAAAAACAAACAATTCAAAACAAACGCCAGGAATCTGATCATCAGCAGGCACTTGAGTAGGTCAACTTGCATATGGGTAGGTTAGTTACCTGCAGGCAGGGTCTAGGGGAACTCCTTTTATTTATCTGAAGCCAACTTTTCATTTAAATAACAATGCTATCTATATAAGCAATGATAACAGAAAAGATAAGCAAAAGGCTCAACTCTATAGCTTTTTTGTAAAAACTGCATGAGAAAAAACTAGTGATAAAAATTATAGCAAGCATTAAAAAAGGTATCATTCATTGAAAGACATGTACACATAAACAGTAAAATGGCATAACCTTCTTGACCTTGCAAATAGGTGGCCCAAAATATATAAATAACTTTTAGAAGCAACTGTTATTGTCAAACAACATGACCAATCCTTACTAGGTGAACACCTCAGCCATCTGCATCCAACATGGTCATGCCTCCTTTTCTGTTCCCTCAGCCAGTCACTCATTAAAAACATACAAAACACCAATTATTCCCTTGCACAACAATGACAAAAAGAGCAGGAATTTCAAAAAATACAGAAGAAAGACAGTACCTTGCCTTCCAGGCTATTTCAAGGCTGCCTCAGACTGAAGGTTGTTTCTCAGCCCCCCAAACCCCATTAACTGAGAAGAGCACCTTAGCACATGTGGTACAAATGCCCAGCCAAAGCCTCAGGGTAACTAAATGACCTCAGACTCTGGGCTTGCTCTCTAATTCTGAAGGAAACAAAAGTAATGATCGCAATGAACCTTCCAAGTTCATTACTGTTCCGGTGGATGTGGATATATAAAGGATTAGTTCTTGCAGACAACCCTGACAAATGGATAAACGTGAGAAAAGGCTCCAAGTTCAGCAAACTCTTCTGAGTTTGAAGGCAGTTGGGGGTGGCCTCCAAGTGATTTCATTGATATGCAGCAACTCTTATTTCCAGCCAGGAATCCCAAGAATACCTATAAATATGCACTGCTAACCGACCCTACTGGATTTCTGCTGCAAGGGCAAAGTGTCACTTAGCAGCCCTGTGTCTTGGGGACACTCAATCAAACTATGTCAAAGTTGGTTTTGCAAAACGTTTGACTTAGCTAGAGTGGAAGAGAGAAGGAAGGCATGGAAACAGGAACCTCCTTCCAAGGGAGCAGAACTGCTAATATGCAGTGTGACAAGTATCTCTGTATTTCCCGGGTCACCAAGTCTGGTGCTTCCCCAGCGTGGGAATGGGCAGGCTAGGGGCGTGGGTGACAGCACAGCAAGCGCTTACCTTGTTCGAGGCCATCTCACTGACGGAATGCCTGGTCTGCAAGGTCTCTAGCTGGTCCAGACACCAGTCCAGCTCCTCCAGGGTCTCGCTGGCCAGTTTCTGGTAGGCCTCCTCTGCGAAGAGACAGGGAAAGGGGGACTCAGTTCTCAAGCGCTTCAAGGGGCCGCCAGAGAGTTCAAAGGGGACCATTCTGCCGTACCCCGCCATGCTCGAGTGCCCGGGGCCCGCACATGAGGGCTGCTCCTTCATATTGCCCAGCCCGGTGGCACGACCGGGGCGGAGGCTGCTCTCTCGGGGTAGCCGGCTTCGGGGAGGTGCAGTTTATCCAGCTTGGCGTTGAGGCTCGGCCTCCCGGAGGGTGCGCAAAGTGCGACAAGCCAACTTTCACGGGGGACGCGGGTGGAAAGAGCACGGTGCGACTTCTGTGCGGCGCGTCCGGTCGGCGTCCTGGATGCCCGCTCTGGAGGATGAGGCCCGCGGACCTCGCCGCCCCGCGGGCAGCGTGCAGTCCCGGCCCCACGCCCGCCCTCCTGCCGAGCGAGCCTCCTGCAGGGCGCTCAAAGCGAATGAATCAGCCACGGCCGGTGCGCGCGGCCACCACGTTTCCTGTTTTCTTTCTCAAGTCCCGTGGCGGCGGGCGCAGCGCGGCTCCATCGCAGAGCTTTCCGAGAACACTCCCCCTCACGCCCCCCGCGGGCGGCCTGGCTCCTCCTCAACTCCCTCACGCGGAGATGGCGAATGGCCAAAGCCTGCGCGCGCCCCCCGCCGCATCCTTCCCCGCAGCTCCACCACCTCGCCGCTGCATCAACCCGAGTGGCCGGTCGGGCGCCACGGCTCTGAAGTGCAGCCTGGAGGCGCAGGCGTTCGTGTGTATCTGAAGGACCGACAACGCGGGCTGTCTGCAGGAGGAGAGCTGCGGAAAACCCGGCGTGGAGCGCCCGCCGCCCTCCGCCCGGGGTCGCGCTCGCCGCCTGGCTCGCGGAATCCGGCGCGGAGGCGCGTGCGTGGCGCACCTGCCCCCCGCCCTGGACCCCGGCGCCCCGCACGCTAGGTTCCGGTTGCTACTCAGACGCAAGCGTCCACCGAGAGGCTGTGTGCAGGCAGGGTTAAGACCCTCTCACAGTCTCTTCTGAGGGACGACGTTTGAGAGTTTCTGAGGGTTCCTTTCTGAAGATTTTGAATGGACTTTCTCTTAAGAGCAGAATGTGGGAATAAGGACATTTCTATTAAGAGCAGATTCTTTCCATACCCAGCACAGGCCCTAAGTGCCAGACTTCTAGATTTTGAGGTGGTCAGCAACAAACAAACGGGACACCTTTGCTGATATGGTACCTTTTCCTATTTAGAATGACCTGAGAGTTATCTTAAAGGAGCAGCAATGTGAATGAACCACAAGGTAAGGAGAGTTTACCATGACCTGGATACGTGCTTCCTTGTAAAATTGCATAAGACCAAATTGGTCTTCTGATGCCAAAGACAAAAGTGTGGAAGGGCATTTCAACCCACTATGTACAAATAAACCACGAGTACAAGAAAACAAAAGACCATATCCAAAGGCACAGGGAAGCCAGTTCAACTTTTAAAAAGCTGACCAAGGGGCTCACAGGCAGTCTCCATACACTGATCAATTCTGGAGAATTTAAGAACATTAGAGTGGGGACAAGTAAACCATTCATAGATGGAAAAAAACATAACTCCCAAGGGCCCATTTTATAAACTTGGTCATTGTCAATTAGAAAGACATCGAAAAGCTTGCAAGAAGTGGTGAAATCCCTTTTTTGATCTTCCAATCTATAGGATTGTTGGAAAAGATAGTCTACTCTTGAAATTTAGACTCCATAAATTATCAGTACCACAACAGAGAGTTTCATGGACTGAATCTCAAGATCCTGGGATTTTTCAAATAAGTTACTAAATAAAATTTGTAAAAGTTACAGTAACTTTCAAAGTATTTGTTACATGTGCCACCATGGTTTGTTGTCATCAAGTATTCTTGAACAATTTACCATTCACTTTTGCCTCTTTCATTCTACTTTTTTTCTGTACAAATCTCTGTAAATACATAGTTTAGGTGTACAAACAACTGCTAACCTTGCTAAGTGAATTAAAATTTAAGGGTGAAGTTTTTCTTAGCAAAAGGAACAACACTAAAGATAACTTTAACAAATATGGTCATCTGAGTGGCTCACATTTAGCATATCCAACAGGGTAGAGGCATTGCCATATGAGTACTTGTTCACTGTCATCTTTTCAGTCCTCTGGAAGCCAGGAGTCTCCTCTCCACAACCCTAAAGCTTGGCAGTCCAACTGTCTCCAAGCCTGAGTGCCAGGCAAGGTCTCTCAGCACATAACCCACTCCTCACCTTCCTCCATCTTCACTAACTTCCTACAGCTTTTCTGCATTCAGTACAAATTCAGACCTTGGACCTGGCAACACAGGTCTCCACATATTATATTTCAGTCTTTATTTTTTAATGTGGAAAAGTAATTCAGGAAAGTTTCAGTTTGATGCTTCAAGACATCGTGCACTTAGATACAGGATTTGTTCTTAAGAAGGTAGTACAATAACAAGAGGGGCAATTTATTTCAGAAGACCCATTTTTCTGTCCAAATCATGGGTTACCATGTTGAATATTAAAATTTGAATATGAGCTAAAGGAAAGGAAAAAAAATGATCCAGAACATACATACTACCAGTAAGCAAATAATTATTAACAAGAGAATAAAGAGCTCTTTTACAAAACTGGTGTCCAAATACTTATTATTGTTATTAGCGTAGAGCTGAGAATACTACTTTTTTCCAAATTCCTTGGGTTAATAGGCAATATGACTAGCCCCAGGTTTTTCAGGATCATTATTAAGCCTTCACTTTTAGGAATTTTAACACCCAAGTGTTCTAAGGACATCAAGTAACTGACCTTTTCATCCCTACAAAAGAAGAAAAAGAAAGAAAAGCCTCAATGTGGAGTTGCCAGTTATCCTACAGGAAACTGAGTCACTACCCCAAACAGCACACCTAAATGTCATCTGCAGCTAGCAGGACAAAAACAGTGAGCCAGTTTAATTTTGGCTTTTACCAAGAACACACACTGCATTCATTAATAAAAATTTTCATCCACGGAGAGCAGTATACACTATGGCTCTACTTTAAAATATATGAAAACTCTTCTATTTAACTGTCCAAAATCTTGCTGTGTCAAGGAACTGAAGAGAGAAAAACACCCAGGCAAAAACTATCGGCTAAGTGCTGTACAGGGTAGGAGAGGGCAATAGAACAGTAACTAATAACTTGAGCCTTTGGCAGTTCCCTTCCATGGCAGCATCGGTTTTCTTGAAGGCACCCTTGAACTATGTGACCCCCGTGTTTCTGCTCAGATGCTCCTGTGAACAAAGAGTCCTCAGTGCTTGCAAGCCAGCCCTTGGCTTCCATCATGGTGATGTGTGCGAGGGTTACCCTGACACATGGCCTAAAACCTTGCCAGGGCCTCCAGGAGAGGATGCTGAAGCTGCAGCTTCCCTTTACAAAAGAAAAAAGCTTACGCTCAGAGCCAGAGCAGTTAGCTAGACTCTGAAGTTGTTTTCTTGAGAAATGCTCAGCCCATTACTCTCACCCACAATTTACTGGCATGCTGACCAGTGAAGTAAAAGGGTCCACACAACAGGACATGTAACATGCAGGTTCGTCATCTTTGCCAACATTTGTGAGGGAAAGGTTTGTATAAGTTTGTTGTAATTCCTAGACAGGACTATTGCTACAAATGAGGAAAGTAATTGCAAAACAACAACAACAAAATGTACTTTGAATAACATTTGCTTGCCCTTAATTTGAAATTAATAAAAATACCACCACCAATTCAGGTTGTTTTAAAAGTAAAACAACCTCATTAAACAGCTCCTAAGAGCAAATGCTTAAGTATATACCTTTCCCAGTCTCTCCTCTCTTGATTCCCACCAAAATCCCCTTTGTTCCTAAGAAAGGACGTAATAGTGTTTGAAATAGGCAGAGCTGGAGAAAATGATTTCTGCTTTACCATGTATTGCTTTGAGCTAGTTACCGCCTGACTTGGCTGTAGATTTGTACAGGTTAGCTCACACTTTTTCTGACATGATTTTTTTCTCTATACATTTTATCTAATGAGAAATACATGAAGGCCCTGGATTCCCTCTCGGTGTGTACATTTAACTTGTTTAAGCAAAGCTTGCCAGTGGCAAGCAGCTGTCATTTCCAAGTGTATTTCTGGCATCAAGTCCTTGTTTTGAAGTATTTTAAAATATATAAACTTTCACTTAGTACTTCAAAAAGTTCTCCAAAGTGAAGACGTATGTAATTTTGTGAGGGTTTTTTTTTCTTTTATCTTCCCACCATCTACATTTTTCTAGTGCTGCCTAAGGCTCTAGTAAAATACTTTAAGTTAAATAACCACAGGGTTGAGTGTCATTGACTTTTAGTCCCATCAGCAACTCAGCTTTTATTTAGCACTGACTCTGCATCATCCGATTAGTTCACACCAACAAGGATGACAGGAGTGTGTCTCTTCTCTAAGAAAAGCCTGGAGTCCAGTAGTGGGAACAATTTCAGCACACCCCACAGTAGGAAGTACTCTGAAAGAAGAAAGCGGGTGTGCAATGGGACAATGAAAGGGGACTACACGAGGCAGAGTGGGAGAAGGCTGAGTTCTACACAAAGAAACAGAAAGCAAGTGAAGAAGATTTAAAACAATATGAGCAGGGCTGGGGATGTAGCTCAGTGGTTCCAGTGCCTTCCTCAAAAGCACAAGGTCATGAGTTCAATCCCCGGTACCAAAAAAAAAAAAAAAAAACAACAATATGAGCAAACACCTGGGCTTGGATCAATAAGATGTGTATGTATGTGCATGGAGAAAAATGAACAACCAGGAATAGAGCTTGGCTCAGGGCAAAAGAGGCTGGAAAAGTCCAAGAAATTCCAGAGATCTGCAGACACTGACTATAGAAATTTTTTCAGGCATTAGTATATAGAAGCTTTGAACTTTCTTCAAAAGAAGAAGCTGTTGAGTAATTCACAGTGCTGTGTGATAGTGGATCTAATTTTATTTTCCATGGAAAATTCTAGGGCTGTGGAACAACTGGGATT